AGGTCTCCGCCCCACACAAACAGGGACCTAAAGGAAGATATCCACTGAACACTTGAAGTATTTGGATGACCCTCTCAAAACTAGGTCCTTTAGTAGAGAGGTTAGAATAAGGGTACCGTCTTTTCTGTGTATTCTATTTTAGTAGGGGAACCCTCCCCTCAACAAAGGGGTAGAGAAGGGCACCTAGCTGGGCACCCTCCCAAAATCTTCAGAACCTCGCCACTCCCATTGCTCCAGCCACCCGTCCCTCGAGCAGCTCCCGTGGGTTTTTTTCTCCACGAAGCCCACCTGCCGATGCCCTGCAAGATCTCGTTGACCTTCTCCCGCCGAGGCGGGGTGCCTTTGGCGCGGATGCTCACATAGACCTCACGCCGGCGACCGGCGCCGTCCAAAGCGATTTCCTGGAGTTTGTTTCTTACGACTGTTTCTCAAAATGATGTACTATATGGCCTCCCTTTTGCTGTGTATTTAAAGGGAAGCCAAGAACCTGAGCTCACTGCAAACCAGGCATATCATGTATGTATACATACATGTGTAGAAAATCTATACATTTAGCAAGTCCAGGAACTGTCCAGCCCCAAGTATCAGGCTTAGGCCCTGGCAGGCTCAGGAGCTAGGTCCTGGCGTCTCCATTGGGGTGTGGTTCTTGTGAACTCGGTCGCCCCTTCGGTTTACATGAGGAAATCAGCAGACTGGGCTCTTCGAACCCTTCTCAGAAGGGTTTGAACATCTTCTCCCGGGAAACCAAACGGAAGGCCGCAAGATTTTGTTTGGCCGGCCTATTTGACACATACCCACGCAAAGTTAAACCTCAAGGTTGGCTTTCTTGGGTCGGGGGAGTCGTTTTTCACGGATTCAATTTCTTCTGATCGCTTTGACGGACCAAAGAAGAAGCATGTGTGTAACATCCTAGAACCCAACCCATCTCGGGGCACCCTATTTGGGTTGCGTTTTGCAAGGCAGGTTTGCCAAAAAAAGAGGGCCATGCCTGGCAAATGCGCGTCAAACAAGGTGTCAAAAGCTGTCAAATGCGAGCCGCAACGACTGGGAAAACAGTTTCGCTCTCATGCGCCACTACCATGCTCAAAGTCCAATCACTGCAGATGCATTTGAAGGATATAGCCGGAGTTGGACACGAATCAAATAAGCCAGGTCACAGCATGATTGTGGATCATCGCAATGCCTCGCCTAGTGAGAACCCTTGAAAAGGCTGTCCACATAACTACGGTTGATGATCACAAGTCGTACATCACCGAGACAACTGGAGCAGAGGGGCCAGTGGCGCTTAATCCTCTCACCCTCGTGTACCACGTTGCGCATGTTCGGGGCATGCTGGGTGGGCACCCCTTCACCGGCAGAAGACGCAACTTGTTGAAGCGTCACCAAAACACGCTCGAGGAACTTGACTGGTCTTTGGTCCTTGACTCGTTCAACCTCACAAGTTGCAAACGTATGCCCTAAAACGAGTGTTCCGTCTACTTGGCCCTCCTAGAAACCCAAAAATGATGGCCCCCCATGAGAAGTCCATGGCTCTTCTTGGCACCCCTAAGACCTTGGCTCTACTTGGCCCTGAGACATCCATGGGGCAAAGGAAGGCCGCTGGGCCTCCTGAGCCGGTCACGCGGGTTTTAATATTGCTGGCCGTCATTTCCCTGCGAGCAATCAGCCCAATTTGTCGGAGTCGAGGACCCACGGCGGCATGGCCATCATAGCCCAAGGGTCACCGAACAAACCAAAGTTCGTAGCCACGGGGGTTGATTGCACTGCACAGGACCGCTCGCGGTCCTTGACCGTTGTCATCATGACCTGCACCACCTGGGAAAATCGTCAAGCTCAGCTTGAAAGAAATGCTGGTTATCAGAAAGACTAACCAAACGTCTTGCTTGGAATGACCCCACATGGCTAGGAGCGTGTCGCGAGGCCTGTGTGGTTCTCCTACTCTTGACTTTCTACCTGGCCCATCCTCAGCTATAAATAGGTGGCCAATGGATAGAGAATCCGGACGAGAGATAGACAGATGGTTACCTTGCTATAGAATGGCACGTCAATGCCACAACTTGGGGAGGGGGGGGGGGGGGGAAATGGCAAGGTTTGTCTTCAAGTCTCCATTCGAGTATCATCCGAACGCGGAACCAATTTTAGCATACACACACACACACACACACACCTGGGTTGTCTGCGAACAGGGCAACCGCAAAACGCAGTGTTACAGGGGCCATTGAATACCACTACCCCAGTCATGTTCTCCGCCCTCTGCCATCCTCCGTCAAAGGTGCTCTCAAGACCCCGGCACAACGAGTAGAGAATTGGCCCCTGAGAGGATTCCAAAGTCAACGGGTCACCATGTTCTAATCTTGGGGTTGATCCTTTAGGAACAGCTTGGAGGGACCCTCTGTGCAGTGAGATCTCGTGTGGCGCCAACAGGGTTCTAGTAGGAAACCTTGGCCTACACTCACGGGGTTGATGGCCTCTACCAAGCAACGCACTCATGTTGAGCCCATACTAATCAACCAACCGGGTTACTAAGGGGGGGGTGTCCCTCAACATCATCACTTTGCAGGCCCCGATGAATACACAGATGCCCAGTGGCCACTGGAAAAAAAACACGCATCCTTCTTTTTTGGTTGGTTGACTTGAAAGGGGAACCCCTTCCCCAACAAAAAAGGTTGAAAACACCTTCCCAAGAAAAGTTGAAAAAAGGGCACCACTGGGCAAAAGTTGAAAAAAGTGCCGGAATCCACCGGGCTGGGAAGAAACCGGGTCGATGTTCATCTCCCAGCGCAGGGCTTCGGGATCCCGGCGCCCGGCTCCACGCCGAAGTGCTCTTGCAGGAAGTGGCAAAAGTCCCCCGCCTGCGCTTCCCGAGTGGACTGGCCAACAAAGGGCCAAGCTGGTTATTTGCTACGAAAATGGTCTCATGCCCCAAAAAGTATAAAGTCCAGGAACTCACAAAGCGAGCCCCCCTGTATCCCTTGAAACTATGGACCCGATCGGGGCAAGACGTTTAAGGGTTACGTTCGACAAGGTGTCGTAAGCTTCAGCTGGGTCCGAACCACACCCTGTGCCCGACCAAAAACAGGTTACCGGCTAGCCAAAATATATCATGGGCCATGCAAGGGGTACATTGCCATATGGCTGTGGCTCAAAAAACCGGAATTCCAAAATGGGTTGCCCTGGTAAGTGGAAACATGGGTACCAAAACTCGTGCTCCCCAGAAATCCCAGGTCTCTTGACCATGGCGCACATTGCAACTCTGTCTGAACCAACAGCTAAACCGCGAATCGCACCAAGCAAAACACGCACAAAGGCTCAAGCAGAAGCTGTGAGTCATGGCCAGCCAACCCCCGCAAAGTCAAAATGGGCCTCAGGGGAGAAGTCGAAGGCTTTTGCCAAAAACTCCTTCCGGCACCCGGGTCCCAACCAACCAAAATGCCCTCGGTACAGGGTGCTGGCGCTTGCCCTGGGAACTCTCCAATGTGGGAATTCCCCTTGGGCCATTGCGAGGTTTGTTCCTGGCACGGTGAGTCTACGCCCCAAATACACATTCCTGCACAATGGAACTAAGATGATCACCATGTTCAGCGGATTCTGCATTTCAAACCACCCCTTGAGTTCCATGATTGATTCTGGTCCATATTTAGTGAACCAACTTGAAATGGATTCCCCGAGGGTCCAAAAGCGGCCCCGCTCTTGCTGGTTCTCGCGTTAGCTCTGCAAACCAAGTCTGGGTTCAAAGATGCATGTCCGCAGTAGTTGCCTCTTTGTTACGTTTGTATGCACGCATACATGCATTTATTGTTGTTTGTTCGTTAGTGTTTGATATGTTGGCTTGATTGATTGATTGATTGATTGATTGATTGATTGATTGATTAATTGATTGATTGATTGATTGATTGATTGATTGATTGATTGATTGATTGATTGATTGATTGATTGATTGATTGATTCATTGGTTAATTGATTGGTTGATTGATTAATGGTTGGTTGGTCGGTCGGTCGGTCGGTCGGTCGGTCGGTCGGTCGGTCGGTCGGTCGGTTGGTTGGTTTTGTTTGTTGGTTGTTGTTTGTTTGCGTGCGTGCGTGCGTGCTTGCTTCCTTGTTCGCTTTTTCCCTTTTGTTTCCTTTCGTTTTTTGTGTGGTTCTTGCTGGCTTGCTTGCTTGTGTGTGTGTGTGCTTGGTGGTTGCGTGGTTGTTTGCTTGTTTGCTTGTTTGCTTGCAAGCTTCCTTGTCGTCCGTCCGTTTGTTGTTTGATTGTTTGTTTTCATGGTTTCATGGTTTCATGGTTTCATGGTTTCATGGTTGCTTGCTTGCTTGCTTGCTTGCTTACTTACTTGTGTGGTTGCTTGTGGTTGTTTGCTTGGTTGTTTGGTTGTTTGTTTGCTTGCTTTGCTTATGGTGTTGTATGGCTTGCTTGCTTGCATTTTTGTTTGTTTGTTCATCATATACACATCACCTGCCAAAGGTTGATTTACCGAATACAACCTTTCAATCCCCCGCCTGGACCTTTGGCATGTGCTCCTCCCGCGCAAAAACCTCCACCAACGGCATGGCTCTTGCCGAGCTGTCCGATGTCTCGCGGCGTTTTGCGCGCGTTCCGCGTTTTGGTCTTCGATGTTGAAGCGAACTTCGGGGATGCTGGAAGGCTGCAATCATCAAACAGCGCCAAGCTGTTTAGTTGAGTCTCTGGAGCCGAGTCGAAAGACGCAACCTTCCGTGTGCTTTAGCGCAACCTGTTGGGAACCCCGGTACCACGAATGCAGGACTGCCTTCTTGGCTGAATGAAGGGTCCCGTTGACAACTCGGCTCATCCGTTTTCGGTCAGATAAGACTGTGACCAAGCACCTCTGGCTGACCTCCCAACTTGGCTGCAGAAAGTTTCAACTTTTTGTGTCCGTGTTAAAATGATGAAGGCGTCTAGCAACAATGTTTGACAACTCAAAGGGTAAATTCAATACCTTGTTTTACACGAACGTGAGAGCAAAGGGATGATCAAGTTCTAGGCTGCAAGTATAAGCGGCTGCACCGGCCGCTTTCATCTACCCGGACACGTTGATCAGGCGCCCCAGCACGTAATGCAAGTCGAACCTTGCAGTTGGAGCGAAGCAATGGGAGGAGCATACATGTGGAAAATCAGCCGGACGTTGGGTTTGGGGAGCAATAATTGAGAAATTTTAGCGGTGAAGTGGAGTTGGATTTCCTTTCCAGCTCAATTCCACAAGAAGCAAAAATGGTCAACATGTGTCCCAACAACAACCATGTTGGGGCCTTTCCCTCCAGGCCACCAAGTAACCAGAATATTGCTCATCTCCTGTAGTACTGCTGACAAACATTCTCTGGGTTTGTGTTTTCGCGAGCGCGCCCTTTTCACCTCGGGCTAAAGGGAAATGACAGGAAAACCAAATCATTTTACACAAGGGGGTCTCAAGATCAATTGCGTCGGGGAGACCTGGCCGCCTTGAATGACGACCTGGTCGCGTCTTGAAAACCCCTCTGCGTTCAGACTAGGAAAAGCGGACGCTTCTTTGGCGCTGAAAAGGGACGCTGAGAAGCCACAACACATGAAGAATGCATGTGGCGAGTAGGGAATGAGACACGGAATGAACCCAGTTTCTTTGGCCCCCGAATAAAGGACGCCACCAAGGGATAGGTTTTTCTTTGGGTCAGACTCCATTTCTCATTCCCGGCATCTCTCGCACGCCGAGACCTTCGAACTCCGAGAGATTAGGGTCCACACCTTCCCATCCCGGATCCGCGTTTTTTCTCTGGGCTTCAGGCTTGCCAAGGGATCCATTTCTGGGTGCAGAATGCACATGCAAGCTGCCCCTTCCGAACCCACCTTCCCAGCTTCAAAGTTGCCCCCGCGCGCGCCTGTGCACAAAGCTCTCGCAGTCCTGAACTCCCAAGCCGATGAGCAGACTGTCGCCCTCCAGCAGCAAGGAGGAGGCGAACCTGCGCGCTAAATCCCAAAAATTTGAGGCGGGAGTCCCCACTTGGATCTTCAACCCACGTAAGTAGGTTGCAACCGATGGTTTTAACCGTATAACCCGAGTTATGACGTTGTAACCTACTTACTAAGTGGGCGGAACATCCAAGCAATGCAGAACATGAAGGTTTTGGCGGATTCTTCCTGACGTATTCGTATGTCAAAATAGGGACCGCCCCAAGGTGGTGGTTTCCTTTTTGAGTTCGCGTCAAGCCACCTGTCAGAATGGTACAGCAGGGCCACTGTACAAGGACCCCATGACCCGAACACATTCCCCAAAGAACACTAGCAAGTTCAGGATGTCAGCTTTACTGACCGCCAAACCAAAGTTTTGTATCTCAAAACCGCCGCAGCTTTTCAAGCCACTCACTCACTTAGTAGCAAGCCTAGGTCCTCCAGCAGAGAGGTTAGAATAAGGGTGCCCGATGTTTCTTTTTTATGTACTCTATTCTAGTAGGGGAACCCTCCCCCAAAAAAGTGAAAGGGCACTACTGGGGGACATAGCCAAAAAGGTCCCCGCTAGTTGGAGCTACCTTGCGGATCGCCCCTTAAAACCTGTCAGCATTACTTCGACACCTGACAGGTCAAAACGCGTTGCCGAAAGACTCGGCCAAAGAATTTCCATGTCACTGGCTCCACATCTCCACGTGTCCCCAAAAATCTGCTTGGCCAAAGCAGCTGCCAAGCACAAGGCGCTGGCCATATCCATGGGCTGTCACGGGTCAATGTGACTCGGGGGACTGGGGGGCATCCTCTTGCACCCGAAAAGGTGGTTGAAACTCTCATTTTCCTGAGAGGATGGATTGGTCAAATCTTTGAACTGCTTTGCCTCTAAAATGGCCTTCCATGTTAAGGTGAAAAGTCTAGACATGGACCCAAAACTGATTAATTTGCCAACCTCTCAACATGTGGAAAAACGTTGTTCCCAGCCACCGGGCAATGCGGCCGGGGCCGGCAAATTCGTCACAGTTTAAGATGTCGTCAACATCTAAAGTGTCCAACGAAGCCTTGCTCAAAACACAAAGCCACGCCCCACCGCTTTCAATGTGAAGCGCTTGAGAAGACAAGCTGACAATTCCTGAAAATATGATTTTTCCCGGTGTCATTAGACAGTTTGGTTTAATGCTACCCCACAACCTCTGTGTAGTTATTTCGGCCCTAATAGTACCCCTTCTGTCTCAACTTCAATACTCACCGATCAGCTGATATCAGAACCTATTGAACTGTTTTCAGCTACACCTATCCATGGGTTCAGCTTTAGAAACCTTCACCATTATATATATATATATATACATATTACATTTTTTTTATAGATTACATATATATATATATATATACATCTATGCCGTTCATTTTCCCCAAAAGAGGTCGTCAATCGCTGGATGCCGAGAAGCTCGGAACAACGGTGGACATGGCTCTTGGCTTCCTGCAATCCTGCACTGGTGAACACAAAATCACCTGAAGAAACGGATTAAAGGACCACAGCTTCCCAACATACCCGGCCCCTGTTGGTTGGTATTTAAAGGGAAATCCACAGGAAGCCAACCAGTTTGGGGTATCAGCTATTTCGAAAAACAAAACACAATTTGAACAGGAAGCGAACAGGAAACCAACAGGCACTGGCCAAACTAGTTAAGGAGACATCGGCCAAGCCGCTGGATGCTTTCGCAGTCTTCTTCGTCTTGGCGGCTGCTGAAGCAGAACTCCGTGGTCACTGCCAGCAGACCGAAGGGAGGTGTACCTGATCGGACAGGCAGGGTGGTCCTTAAGTTGCTGAGAGACATGGCCATGGGTCAAAAGCCCGTACCCCTAGTGAACATCCCAATCCAGACTAAAATGGTGGTGCACCCCCAATGCTACCACTGGTTTTGACCCACAGCCACAGGCATGACCCCAAAAGAAAACATCCAACATATGGTGTCCTTTAAGGGAATCCCCTTCAGGTTCATTCCCAAAACCCGCCTACAGAGTTAAATGGTTCAACCATCCCGGTCCCAACAACTGGCTTTTATGGTTATCGTGCCCAGGGCATTTCGGCCATGGGACAAAGCAGCCAAGATTTGGCACTCGGCTGGAGGGTGGAACTTGTTGCCACAACAAATATGCTTTTGCCACCGTAGAAGGGGACTGAACAGGACAAGTGTCCTTTGATAACTTGGGCTCCAACCCCGTTTTTGTTAGAAAATGCCAAGCTGACATGAGTCAAAATCAAAACCTGGTATTAAAAAGGGTTGACCTAGAACCATGTAACGAATTAAGGCGGCCGCAGCTATTTCTGGCTGGGATCGTCCCTTACTAGCCTTCATCTACCCGGGTTTTGATTGTGGCTCACATGCCTAAGCACTCCCTTTGTTTCCAAAACCTGTTTTTGTTCTCCCTGGGGACAAGGGTCCAGGTGTTGACGTCAAGTCTGCTCCGCCCTGGGAAAAAGGAGCGTCCAACACCACATGCTGGGTGCTAAAAATAGGTAGTCTTGAAGAAAACCGGAAATATTGACACCCTTCGATTCGGTTCGCTTCACGAAATATGACGACGATCTACTATTTAGCACCCTGCATGTTACACGGCATCGTCTATGTATCGTCTATGACATGTTTTCAGAACAATGCAAGAGTAGCATACTCAGTCTTCATGTGCACAACATCTTCGAGACCATGCTTGACCAAAGGCTCTTCAGCGCATCTGCTCAAATCGATCGCAACATGGTCTTCGGAAACTGGGCAAGCCAGTATAGACTCGGTTTGGTGGCTGAGACGATCCTTTAGAGATTAAACTGTAATTATTTTGCCCTGAGTCAAGGGATCCACACTAGGTGCTCCAGTAGAGAGGTTAGAATAAGGGTACCCTTTTTTTCTGTAGTCTATTTTAGTAGGGGAACCCTCCCAAAAACGGGCAAAAGGGCACTACTGGGGGACCTAGCCATAAGTGCGAGGACTATCACGGATGAGTCCCTTGTACGCCAACGCGAGTAGATATGTCCTGTCCCACCTTTCAATGAGGAGGGGATACATGAGATGCCCTTCTCGCCAAGGCGGAGTATGCTGGATGCTTAGGTTGCAAACACACTTCAGTGACACGACAAATGGCTATGAATTTTAATGGGAGACCCCTCCCAAATAGTTGGTGGACATCAATCCCAAGCTAAATGATGTCCACCAGGGGGCCCGTCACTAAAAATCATACCCAGATCCCAACGCGCCATTGGGCTTTGAATCCGTTGACCCCGGACTTCACCTCCAGTCTTTGAAGTCAACCGCTTCACTGGCGCCTCATTGAGCAACAACCAAGTTGAGTGCATGTTGGCTGCCAGGATTTCAAGAAACGGCGAAAGCCTGACCGAAGTCAGGCTAAGGAGAAAGGAAGCATCCAATACGGTGTCAAAATAGAAAAGTGATTCCTGAAAAAGAAAAGAAAGGAGACCTGACCTAGCCCAATGTTCTCCGTAGGCAAATTAGAGTAGGCACAACCCTGCAACGACAACAATCCACGATGTCTCTATCGCGCGGCGTTTTCTCCCACGGCGCTTTTTTGCGTGTTGTCTAGGTCCTCCAGCAGAGAGGTTAGAATATGGGTACCCTTTTTTCTGTAGTCTGTTTTAGCAGGGGAACCCTGCCAACCAAAAAGGAAAAAAGGGCACTACTGGGGGACCTAGTTGTCTTCTTCTTTGCGCGCGCCTGCAAGCAAGAAGAACTGATGAGTGTAGTGGTGCGGCAGGAAGTAGCCTGCAGGTCAGCCCTAGCTTCCACTTTCCAACCCTGGATGAAGCCCTGGAAAAAAAACTAGCGGCTTCCACTTTCCAACCCTGGATTCAAGCAGCAATGGCTACTTTTGCGGCCCTTGTCCCATTTTGGATGAACTCCTAGCCTGGTAGAAGGTTCTCTGGCGGCTTCCACGTTCCAAGGTGAACCCTGGATGAAGCGGAAGCAGCAATGGCTACGTCCCTGGGATCCCAATATCAACTCACCAGGTTGATCCACAACCCACGGATCCGTAACTGAAGCTCTGGGTTCTGTTGTCATGTGGAACCCTTCAAAAGCATCCTGGGTTGGGGTGTGGGCATGGCAGTCTTGACTCCTTGAAGGCAAGCGAAAGGTCCTTTTAGCCCCTTGCAAGCCGTCCTAAGCAAATCATTTATGAATTGCATCCCTGCAAAACACCATCCTCAGCTGCAACCAAAAACAACTGTTGATTCTGGTCCACATTTAGTCAACCTTCAAAAACACAGAATAATCACATGTGGTGAACCATCCACCCAACCCAACCCAACCCAACGCAACCCAACCCAACCCAACCAGCCGACACAAAGCTCAGCTCCGCATGACTCGCTGAATTTGCGTCGCCACTCGCTCATGACCCCCCGCCTGGGGCGGCTTCTCGTCGGCCCCGGCGCAAGTGCCCCAGCCCCAGGAAGACCTGGCGATCCTTCAGCCACACCTCGGGACAACCCGGAAGAAGTTGGGAAAAAGCCGCATGGGCGTGTTTTTGTTGGGGTGTTGCAGGGGGTGGCCATATATACCCTCCACTAACATGGAACCAGACTGAGCACTATTTTCCTCTACAAAAGGGACTCTGGTGAGATTCATGTAAGTGGACAGAGGCGGGTAAATGTATTTTTGTTGGTTGAAAAGGTTTTGGAGACAAGCGGCTCTCATTTAAGGGGATTCATGTCCACCAACCACCTTTTGAGAGTGCTTTGTTAACAAAAAGAAACCTCTCAAAATCAGGGACCAAATCCTCCTGGTTTGCTATGGGTTTCTCTTTCAAACCATCCAAGACTTCCTCTTCAACATCCGGGACAGACCCATATTCTGTGTTTTGTCGAAGTGAGAGTTCTCAAACGTGCAATACCAACATTACATAAGCCCATTTAGGACATGGGCGTTAATATTAATTCAGGACCCTCTGGAGGATTCATGTCCACCAATCACTTTTTATGGGATTCCCTGGTCAAATTCATACTGCAGGAAAATTAGGTTGTCCCCCTGCATCACTTTGCAGCAGGCTACTAACCCCCGTCGATTGACGAATTCTCTATAAACAAATTCATATTAGCCGCAAACTGACACGTTGGGATTGTGCTTTGCTCATTGATGTCTTGTAAACTTCCCCGCCTTTGTTGCAATATCCTAAATGAGATCCCAAATCATGGCTAACAGGGAAACAACACCCCCCGAAATGTCTGAGTGGATTGCAAGTCGTTCCAGGGCCGAGCAGACCGGGTCCAACTTGCTACCAAAAACAGGTCCGTAATGCAGACAATATTGCAACTGGCGTCTGCATCCTGCGTCTTGCCTGTTTACCAGTCGGATCTAGTTGGATGATTGAGACACCCCCTTTGCCAGTTTCATTGCGTTTACCGCGTTGTGAAAGTGCGCCGCCGCCGGGCTTTTGGCACACAAGGTTGTGACCCTCGCAGCCACAAACAGCCCCTTTTCGCAAGACGGCTTATTGAACGCGGTCCAGCGCACGTCCCTGCTAGCAACACCGCGCCAACTGAAGCTTGATATCATCAGAGGCATCCACCAAGTGGATTTCGTAAGCCTCTGGGATGGGAACAAGCTCAGAGATACCAACAGAAAACCCAATTTGGAGCTTCGAGCTTTCTCTCAGACATCTGAGGCAGAGTCCGAACCTGCCAACTTGCGATACGATGCAGCGAGACCAGCCTTCCCAATGACTAGTCGACTGAAGGCGACGTTTTCGAACAAACCCACCTACTTCTCACGGCCCTGGTGTGGTTTTGATGCGTTCCTAGACCTTCTTGGAACGCCAACCTACTTAGCAAGTCGGTTGAAGCCGTCGTTCCCTTGGAACTAACCCTACTACCCCACTCGTCAATACTTATGCCGATGGTGATCAGTAATAACCTTACTAAATGAGAAGGAGTAGTCAACCTGGTAAACTATAGGGCGCCAACTAAAAAAATCAACCATCCACGGTATTCTTCGGACACCTCATCCACTTTCACCCCCCCCCCCTGAAAGGGGGGTGGCTCAAACACATAAAATGGAACCCTGGCAAAGCAAGACTCAAACCTGCCTCTCAAGTTTCAGGAGCCCGTGGAAGGGAGACCTGGAGGCCCACCCGAGCTTTTTGCTTTCGAGACAAAGACGCCGGGCTGGGGCCGTTGTGCAATCTGACCGGCCCCTGCTGGCCCCGGCAGTTCCGCCAGGGAGACGTCGGAGCAGCAGCCGAGACCTCGAGCCAGAGCGCTCCAGCTTCGATGGGTTGCCTCTGAAGGATTCGGGTTTTTCTCGGGTGCCCGGAAAACAGGTTGGAATACTTCCCCCGGTATCCGGAAACCATGGCCGAACTGGAAACAACTGGAGAGACTCGGACTATCTCGGACTTGGCGACCGGCTTGTCTCTTTTTTTCAGGCAAGCTCGTTGAAAAGGACTTGAAGAAAGACAAGTGCGCGCCTGTCGAACAAGCAGGGCTGGCCAGCAGGTTGCTGAGTTGCTGAAAGGCAGCAGCTCGAGAGCCGGAAATGTGCAATGGCCAGGCCCGGTTTGGTTTGGAGCGCTTCTGACGCCCAAGGACCGAGCACGCAAGTCGCAAATGGCACTTGCCAAAATATATGCAACATCGCCCGCGCCGTGGCTATTGGGCGGGACAAAAGACAAACCTTCCTCTACAACATCATGCTTTCTTCACCTGAAGCACGAAGCTGGCAGTCCGACTGGCATTAAGAGAGCTAAGAATTTGGATGAAAGGCGGAGCTCGCAACCTATGCTTTCTGCTTCAAATTGCGCAAGATATGCCCTTATGTGGGTGGACGAAATCTTGCACCACCTAAGAAATCCTGGAATGATGATTCCCCTGCAAATACCAACAAAACAATGGTTTCCCATGGTTTCAACGTGGTGCAAGATTTCGTCCATCCACAGTACCCTTTTGTTTCCGAGGCTTTGGGGTTGCGCTTTCGAGGTCAGCCTCAGACACAGGAGTTACCTGTCGGGGACGAGGGTCTCAGGGGGAAGTCATTCATGTACCCATAGGTGTCCTTTTAGGGGACATAGATGGCCCTGGTAGATGATTAAACTACCAAGTAAACCAGGGCCATCATGTCTTCTACCAAAACAACCCAAAAACACACCTATGCATGTACCGATTCATCCCAACGCCAGAAGTAGGCCACAACTGCCCGGCACCTCTCCGGAACCCTAGCCCCGCACCTGCTCCGAACCACTCCGCAGCCTATCTGGGCAAAGACCCCCAGAGCTTTCAGCTGTTGGGGAACAAATTTGCTGGTTAAATCTGGTTCAGAGGGAACATTAAGAATGATCCTTACATTATACACCTGAACATTGCCTTGTAAATGGTTTCCCTTTATTTTGGTGTTGAAAAAGCAACATGTTTCAAATGGTTGCAAATGTATCTTTTGCGGATCCCTGATGAAGGAAGCCCAAAAGGGCCAAAAGGCACAGCAAGCCCCGGGTGACGACAAAGCTGCAAGCTTAGGCTCTGTGTGCAGGCAGGTGGTCTGCACATGAAGCTCCCCGTTCCTCGGCGGTTTTTTCGGATTGGAACTGGGCGAATGCCAGTGGATTCTATCTGGAGTCTCCTTCTGTCCCTTGAAAAATGGGTAAATGACCCCTTTATTTTGGGTAAGGACCAACCATTTTTTCAGGGTCATGGAGACTCTAGGTAGTTCCATGGAAAACCAAAGCAAACCTGTGGCCATTTGCCGTGGACCAACGAGACGAAGATGTGGCGACTGGTCGCCACAGGTTGCACAACTGGCTCACCAATCCTGGGCTGGGAGCCCCATTGTAGAAGGCCCAGGCTTGCAAAAATGGTGTCAACATTGCCGGTTTGCCAGCATGTAGCCCACCCATAGACCTGGTGGGGAGAGAGGTGAGATGGACATGCCCTGCACTGGGGCAGGTGAGCCTCCCACAAACCTTCCGCACATCTTGCTGCGACCTGAACAGCTGTTGACCCCTATTTGAGCAAATACCTGGTGGGTCCACCCAGCAGAACTCAACTCAGCCTTGACCCAAATCAGCGGCGCCTGCAATCCGGCAATCCTGCCCGCAATATCTTGCTATTGCAGCGCCCGAAGGGACATTCCTAGAAAGAGAGGTTTTCAGGCTGGCGGCATGTCACTCCAAACGCGAAGGCAACCTTGAAATCTGGCCTCCGATCGAAGAAATAACGAGGCCAGGCCTGCACTTCATCGAAAAAGGAATTAGGTTGGGGCAAGCAACAACCTGCGAACCAAATAACATACCAACATGGAACCCCCTATATATACATTGAACCCCACCATGAAACCACTTGCATTCCCCTTCAGGTGGAAACTGAAAGGACGGGCCTGAAAGACCACGTTCCTTTTGAACATTTATGGCAAGACAGTACATTTAGATCCGGGGGCCAAGAACAAGACTGGTAAAAACACACACAATTGAGTATTTGCCTGACAAGGTTCGTCCAAATACCACCTTGGTATGTCTTGAAATAGGGTGCCCCCAACATGTTTGGCTTCCTTGTGGTGTCCCTTTACCCCAACCCAAAAAGGGTTCCGCGCCTCACACACTCACACACACGTTGCTTGGATGTGTGATTATTTAGATAATTTTGGCTGGTTTTAAACGTCAAATGCAGATGATATTCTTGGGTACCAACTTGCAATTGCCCGCAAAAAACGGAACGGCCCACCATATAGGACGAATCAGATCTACTGTCGTCTGGGATGCATGGCTACATGGTTAACTTTGTCCTGGCTACCCACTGAACGAGGACTTGCGACCATACCAGGGTTGCTATGCATTTAGTGATTCCTCCCAAACCATCTAAATTCGACCCCCCCCCCCCCACAGCAAAGCTGGGTGTTCGTTCCTTCACTTTGAACAAACACCCGGCCCTAAGCATGTGGCTTGGACACGCTGCAAAATAGCTCGTCTTGTCTCAATAAGTCCCCTCTACAAGGTTGGGCATGAAACCCTATATCTTGGTTGACATTGGAAGGGGGGGGGGGGGGGGGGCAAAAAATTACATTTTAGCAGTTTAGTGGGGATGTCCCACAAAACCACAATAAGCAAGACTGCAAAAATGTTACCATGATATGCACATGATCCTGCCTCCCCAATTGAAACTACCCAGATTCTCCACTCCAACTGCCGGGCCAGACTCCGAGTCGTCAGGTTGTGGCTCTCGTGATGGACTATCTCGTCCTTGGCCCACGAATTGCGGCGCAAATCCTTGCTAGGTCCTCCAGTCGAGAGCTTAGAATAAGGCTACCGTCTTGCTGTAGTCTCTTTTAGGGGAACCCTCCCCCGAAAAAGGATGTAAAAAAGGGGCACTACTGCACCTGGCTGGGGGACCTAGTCCAACCACTGCGACCTGCCGATCTGCTGAACCTTTTGGGGCAGTCGCCATCACAGATCAGGATGCCGTCAGAGGCGGCTAGTGTCTGAAGCTTCCTTTTTAGCTGTTCCATCCCGGCATTTCTGGGGCTCCTGCAACCAACAAGATATGGCTGATTTAGATAGTCTCATAAGGAGGTTCCCGATTGGTCCTACACAAGTAACTTAGGTAGTCTCATTGCTCAAAAGCTTACTCCGCTGTCGTTCAGGTATCCCAGGTCCTCCAGTAAAGACGCTAAAATAAGGGTACCCTTTTCTCTGTAGTCTATTTCAGTACCCCACGAAAATGGGTGGAGAAGGGCACCAATTGATGGGGGCCCGACGTCCTTCGCCTCACTTGACCTCAACTTTCGGCTCGCCCTAAATGAAACCAAGCGGCCAGCACTCCGGCAGTTGTGGGGTACACGCGATCCTCAGGTCTTGCGAGTGTGAGAGGCCAAGTAAAAATTCAGATGTCATCATTCTTGCTACGAGTTGCAAACCACCGCACAACAAAAAGCTACAACTTGTGTTTCTCATCATGCTCCAATTGTTACTCCGTCTCTTAAAGCGCCATGCTGCAAAACACATGGCCCTGATACAACGAAGCAACAAAGACCGTCCAGCGTCGAGGCGATGGTGTTGCGCTCAAAGAGGAATTGTTGGTGGACTTGAATTTGGTGCGAATGTATAAATTGATGTATGTCCACGGAACCACTTTTGAGGGGGCCCCGTAGAAAATTAATAGCCATGTGGCTAGCAGCTGCACACAACTCGGCTTACTCGGCTGCTCATTGATATCGGGGGGGGGCCTCCTCACTGGTTGCAATGGGGCAAGCAGGCGGACACAATAGAAGTCACCCTGTGCGTGAGACCGTGTCGCTCTCTAAGAAACCAGCTCACCAGCTGGTTTGTGTGTGTGTGTGTGTGCCAACAGCGATCATGCAGCATGGCCTAGGCCATGTGTCAAAAAAACCAGAGACCTTTTTGGGGGACAGACTTAGCAGGGAATCAATATAAACTCCCCATGTGACTTCTCCTGATTCCTGAAAGAAGATCCATTCTAAAAAATCCGTCCTCATCAATCAATGCCTACAAACCATCATCCTCGTCGCCCAAAGTTGTGCACACAGCTGACAAAACTCAGTGCATACATGTATCTTTATAATGCTGTGGATGGACACAATCCTGCACTAGTTGGTAGGTATATACGTAGTCTGTCCCATATTCACAGGGCTTCATCCATCCCAAATGGTGTGCGGATTTTTCCTACACCGCGTCCGCTGACTTCTTGGAGTGGCTCACTTGGAGGTTCTACTGTAGCTGTTTGAAACTTTTGATTTGGGGTTCAACAGGGATCCTTACATTATACACCTGAACATTACCTTGTAAATAGTGGTTTCCAACTTTATTCTGGTGTTGAAAAAGCAACATGCTTCAAATGGTTGCAAAATGAATTTCTCATAAGGAGCCGTGTTCAATACAAAGGGCACGGCCCGTCCCTAAGCCGCCACGACCTGAAACCCGCAGGTTCAAAGGAAAGACAATTCGCTTCGGACAGGTGCTGATTCTCCCGAAGCCGCCGAAAACCGCCGGCGCCCAACCCCCTAGGCCCACAACAGCTTCCGTTTGTTCAAGCTGCCTGGGACAAAAACAAACAAACTATTTCCATCAGTGATGGATTCCCTTTAAAACCAACAAGGGGCAAAAAGCTTCAGCAAATGGAAGAAGCGGACGCCATATTTTTGAATCCCCCAAACAAAACAAACAGCTTACAAGCAAATGGAAGAAAGGGACGCCAAATCAAAGAACATCCCTTTAAACATAAAAATAAAAGATGGCCCAGGCTCGAGGATGTAAGTCCTCCCCTGTGACTCCAGAAAGCCCGGGTTCTTCTTGGCCGTGTCCTTTCTGCAGTCCTGAAAAAACACGAGCGAGCGAGGCCTCTGATCCAAAGTTTGCCAACCTGACGGGTGAACAGGTGTGTGTGTTTGTGTGTGTGTGTTTGTGTGGGTGGTTCTTTGGTTTTTGGAGTTGTTGTTGGCTGCTGGCTCCTGGGATCAAAGTTGAAGGCTCAACTTTCGCGCCTGTTCCGGGCGGGTCACTGGATTTCCCCCAAACCGGTTCCATTGAAACTGAGATCGTGGAAGGCTCAACTTCTGTGTTCAAGGGGGTCACTGGATGTCCCAACAAATCATCCATTTGCTGGTGGGTTCCGAAGAAACTGCCATTTTGGAGGTCCTGAAAATGGAAAGGGAACTCCTGGTAGACGTTTTGTTCCGCCAGTGAAGCTGTGTTGAGTGGCTAAGGGGCTACATTCTCTTATGATCATGACTTGCTTTGGTGCTAAAGTGCCCCACCCCCTTCCTGCAGTGTGGAGGCCTTACAGATGCACCCCTTCCCCAAGGCAAAAAAACGAAAAGTCTGGAAAGCCCACTCTCGGTTGCTTTCTGCTGCCCTGCTAAAAGTTTAATGTTTAGTGGTTTAATGGACACCCCATTTGTTGGCAAAAAGTTAAAGTCCTAACATCCCTTGGCAAAATGCACCAAAGACAACTGCCGCGGCTTGGCTTCCCTGCCACCTGCACAAGTAAACCTGGTGGTACCCCAAAACAAAAAGCCCGCAGGGTTCAGTCGATTCGCCGAAACAGAAAAATACCAAAAATAACTGATGGGTTCCTCCCCTCCAAGAAAAAAAGGAGACAACACAAAACAACACTAAAACTGATGGGTTCCGAACCCCGGCCAAATCTTGGTTGCTGTTGACCCCCTGCAAAAAGCTTAACTTGTGGGGGGCTTAGTAGAAAACAACCTCCATTTTTCGAAAGCTATCCAACCCAAGAGCAATCAAGAGCTCGATTTCCGCCCGACCTCCGCCCCTCGAAATCCTTGAGCCGCTGCAGCTCTGAGCTTCGCAGCCAGGCCCGGAGAAATCTCGGGCCGACGTCTAAATGGAGCTCAGCCTAGGAAAACCCGCGGACAATACCTGGAGACCAGCGAACAACCCCGCCAAGAGGTGGTTTCCTGTGGGTTTCCCCTGATTTTTCTAAACAAACACGTGGTTTCCTGTGGGTTTCCCCGGCTTTGCTCTAGAGTTCCCTTCCTAGAATTTTCGGGTGTCCGTGATGCTTGCAACCAGTGCGCCATGAAAGAGCAAACAGCTGCTGCAAGTGACAGAACCAAGTCATTCACATAGGTGACCTTTTGGGGGAAATAGATGGCCCTGGTAGATGATGGAACCACCAGGTAAACCAGGGCCATCTATTATTATTTTGTTTAAACAAAACAACCTCTTACTGAACTTTGGACGCCGCGAAGGTTGTCGCATGTGTAAGGGAAACGATGAAGTGTTCTGTTTGTATTTGAGATCAAAAGAGCGCAGAAACTCGTGAGGTGGTTCCTTGTGAAAAATCATAGCCCTTTGAGGCTGCTACTCAAAAGGCCTACCCAAGATCATGTCAGGAATTCGCACCAAAATCCGAAGGGCAAAGCGTGTGTTTTCTGTTTTTCCCGTTTTCGGGTTGCTATACGAGACGCAACCAAATCGTGACCGAATCGATGTCTATTTCTATTTCGATTATGATCACAAATATTACTATAATCATTATTATTGTCGTTGTTATTGTCATTATTATCATTCCACGCCGCGGCACCAGGAAGGCGTGGGTGAGCTCCAGCTGGCAGTAGGCCTGGAAGCCTGCGGCGAAATTCGCCGAGCTTTGTGGCGTTTCTTGGGGCGGGTGGGGTTGACGTTTTCTTGGTTGCTGTTGACCCCCCTGCAAAAAGTGACTCACTTTTTGAGGGTTTAGTGGAAAGCCCAGCTTGATTTCAACCAAAAAGCTAAAGTCTAAAGATCCAACCCTATAGCAGTCAAGCTTTTTGGGCCTCTTTCGCTTGCTGAGTTCCTTGGAAAGGATCGCCACTTGAGGTTCCGAGAAGAAGTGAAGGATACATTAGGTTTGGCGCAGGATGGAGAATTAGGCAGGTTCAGGCAGAAGGCCAGGTTGGGGTATAGCTTGGTAGATATCTATACATACATCGCTAAAGCCCCGGGAGAAAACCGTCGAGTTTGCGGATGGAACCTGGGTCGATCATGCTTCCAAGTTTGTGGCTGGCTAATGAGCAAGCTTCCACTCGGCTGGTTCATCAGCAACTGGCAATATCGCTGGTCTACTTTTTGCGGGGAGGACATGGGGGGGACACATCCCCATGAACGCCAAGGAGACAGCCAGTGGGGCCCAGCTTCAGGCCAATCGACCGCGGGATAGAATTGAACATGGGTTGGTGGACACTTGAGTCTCCGCCTAAATGGGGCACCCCAATTCACATTCATACCCACATCCTTTGGGGGAAGCAAACTATTTTGTTCATCAGCAGTATCTCACTTCCTGAGTGGATGGGCCAAAACAATATCTGAACTTGTTCTTCTTATTTACCACTACGGTCCAGCCACAAAAAAAGATCAAGTCCAACAAGTATCTGAGCTTGTTATTTAGCACTAAAATGGTCCAGCCCCAAAAAGTGCAAAGTCCAGGGGTGGGGAGTGTTCCCCTCTAACAGTGGTCTGATTCCCCACTCAACCCAGGAAGAAGCACCCCCCGTACTAATAAAAACTGGCTGGTTGATTAGAAACAACTCTGGGGTCAACATTCACGAGGATTTGAGAAAGCGGGGTCAACATTAAAAAAAATGGGGTCAGCATTCATGAAAATATGGGGTCAACATCAAACCAGCCAGTTTTTATTAGTAGGGGGGGTGCTTCTTGCTGGGTTGAGTGGGGAATCAGACCACTGTTAGAGGGGAACACTCCCCACCCCTTTGCACTTTTTGGGGCTGGACCATTTTAGTGCTAAATAACAAGCTCAGATACTTGTTGGACTTGATCTTTTGCCGGCCGTGGCTCCAAGCGGCTCACGAGGATCCGCCCGCTGCTGTGGGCAAAGAGCCGAAGGTCCATGACGGCGCCCTCCGTTCGATCGTCGCCCTCCACGGCGATCCTCGGCCGAAGCGGCGTGCCTAAGGGGGTTTTACATGGTTGACGTTGGAAGGGCATCAACAAAATTCAATTTAGCAGATAAGTGAGGACTTCCCAAACCACAACAAGCAAACATGTAAAATGTTTCCCAACAACCATGTATTTAGGGGTGTCCCAAAAGTCTCGCCGTTGTTTACCAGTTTTGATGAGCCACAATGAAACAGTCTAGGTGAAGGCTGTCAAGTAAGATCAAGTAAGTGTCCCTGCCTGTCCTGGGGCTGTCCTGGGCTGTTTCAACCCGACTTTGGAACTTTGGAAGGACAAAACGCGGCGATAAAAGCCTAGGTCCTCCAGTAGAGAGGTTAGAATAAGTTGGTACCGTTGTACCCTTTTTTTTCTGTAGTCTATTTTAGTAGGGGAACCCTCCCCAAAAATGTTGGTAAAAAGGGAACTACTGGGGGACCTAGAAGCTTGTGCACGAGATGCCAGGAGCTGGAAGTGAAGCGAGCCAATCAAAACCTGAGACTCAAATGGCTGAGGGTCAAAACCCTGTACTCCTGGTGAACATCAAAATAGGTGGCAAAAATATGTTCATCCACCCGAAAAGTGGAGCCATAGGTTATGCCCCATGGCCAACTCATCTACCCGAAATTGCCCGAATCGGGGAAGGAATCTCAATCGTGGATTCCTGCCTAACACCCCCTGATAGCCCATGTACCTTGTGATGTACTTTGAGCAATGCGTGGGCCCTGGAAAGATCCTGTGGCCCAACCGCAGGTACACCAAAAACCATAGGAAGCATACCGTCTCAGAACATTTGGGTATGGGTCAAAACCGGGGGATCCTGAAGACGGGGGCCTTCCGAAAGTTGGCTTGCCTTTAAAACCGGCAACAGCAAGAAACACAGAACCACTCAACGACAAACAAAGAAACACTCAACGACAAGAAACAAAGAACCAACGGCAAGCAACACAACAAACAACAAGACACAGAAAAGGCCCCCCTCAACAACAACAGAAACACTGAACTTTCCCGCACAGCTTCTTGCTCCGCGCCAGGACCCGAAAGTCCTTGTCCAGGACCGCTGCGTAGGATCCTCGAAAAGGCTTTGAGGCGTGCAATGGGGAGCAGTGCTGCTCTGCGGATTAACATGTGTGTGTGTGCCTGTTTCTGTGTGATTGTATTGTTTGTGTGGTTGTGTGCTTGTGTGTGTGCCTGTTTCTGTGTGCTTGTATTGTTTGTGTGGTTGTGTGCTTGTGTGTGTGCCTGTTTCTGTGTGCTTGTATTGTTTGTGTGGTTGTGTGCTTGTGTGTGTGCCTGTTTCTGTGTGCTTGTATTGTTTTTTGGTTGTGTGCTTGTGCGTGTGCGTGTGTCTGTGCGTTTGTCTGTGGGTGTTTGTGCGTGTGTGTGCGCGCGTGCTTATGTGTCTGTGTGTGTGTGCTTGTGCATGTGCGTGTGTTGTGTGTGTGTGTGTGTTGTGTGTGTGTGTTGTGTGTGTGTTGTGTGTGTGTGTTGTGTGTGTGTTGTGTGTGTGTGTGTGTGTTGTGTGTGTGTTGTGTGTTGTGTGTGTGTTGTGTGTGTGTGTGTGTTGTGTGTGTGTTGTGTGTGTTGTGTGTGTGTGTGTGTTGTGTGTGTGTGGTGTGTGCGTGTGCGTGTGCGTGTGCGTGTGGGTGTGGGTGTGTGTGTGTGTGTGTGTCTGTGTGTCTGTGTGTCTGTGTGTCTGTGTGTCTGTGTGTCTGTGTGTCTGTGTGTCTGTCTGTGTCTGTCTGTCTGTCTGTCTGTCTGTCTGTCTGTCTGTCTGTCTGTCTGTCTGTGTCTGTCTGTCTGTCTGTCTGTCTGTCTGTCTGTCTGTGTCTGTGTCTGTGTCTGTGTCTGTGACTGTGTCTGTGTCTGTGTCTGTGTCTGTGACTGTGACTGTGTCTGTGTGTGTGTTTGTGTTTGTTTGCTTGTTTGTGTTTGTGTGTCTGTGTGCTTGTCTGTGTGTTTGTCTGTGTGCGCGAGCACAGTGGGTGGGTGCTGGGTGAGTGGGTGGGTATGTGTCAGTGACTTTGTGTGTCTGTGTGTATGTGTCTGTCTGTGTGTGTGCGTCTATGTATCTCCGTGTCTGTGTGAGTGCATGTACATGTGCATGTGCATCTGTGTGTGTATACATATAATGTTCGTGCAAGTGTTTGATTGAGTGTTTTTGTTGTGGGCACATGTTTTTGCTGCCATATACCCAAATACTCCTCCGCAAATCAATGCGGAACCCATGAGAAACGCTCTTGTTTGGTTCCGTATCACTTTTGGGCATGCGCCTTTGCAGCCCAGAGGGTGCGTGTTGGGGTCACATTCAAGCATGGGTCGTGTCGCACATGCCTATGTTTAAGGGCGCCCTGAAGCAACGAGCGCGAACATGTCCGAAGAGTTCGAAAGATGGCCACTAGGCGCAAGCAGTAGTTCTGACTAGGTCCTCCAGTAGAGAGTTTAGAATAAGGGTACCCTTTTTCCTGTAGTTTATTTTAGTAGGGGAACCCTCCCCCAAAAAAGAAACGGTAAAAGGGCACCTACGAGTGGCTGGGGGACCTAGCTGACAACCTGACAGGAGTGAACAGAGGTATAAAGATTGATGCCCAGGCACGCTCGTGCAAAGGTCGTGTGCTGTCAGGTGTAGTTCCCTTGGTTCTTCATAAGTCGGTTGACCCGAGCACCGACAGATGTGAAATTACTTGACCGTTGTACAGGCTTGTATATGTCGTCTTTGCGGCCTGAAACCAGGCACCTAACATGACCAATAGGAATTGGTTTTGTGTGCTCAGCACCTACACTCCCACCAGCGAACATGGAAGTGCATAGACCCTGTAGAAAGGCTATTTTCCTCTTGGAAAGGGCACTTGTGCACTTCTATGTTAGTTGGTGGGAGGGTAACATGACCAATAGCGGTTAGTTGGTTTTGTGCGCTCAAAGCGAGCACTGGGCAACCAGAGCTAGCCAAGTGGCGCCGATGCCCATGGAAACCACGCCAATTTGAGGCAAAACACGACCTGCCGAGATCCAGTGGAACTCAGGTGACCTTGAAGTAGGTGCCCTATCGTGGAAAAAACATTTAGACGGGGATCTATGTCTACCTACGTTGGATGGGGAGTCATGGCCACTTAGCATTAAATGTTTTCGAGCAGTAAGCTGTGCCAGGGCTTTTGCCCGTTGAAGCAAACTAGGTCCTCCAGTAGAGGTTAGAATAAGGGTACCAACTTTTTCTGTAGTCTATTTTAGGGGAACCCTCCCAACCAAAAAAAGGGTAGAGAAGGGCACTACTGCAGGGACTTAGGAAAAGTCCCGTCGGCCAAAGGTCCTGAGCAGTAGGTGTTCATCATGTACTCCGCCTGGCCCGCTGCAAAGTCCTGCGCCAGCGAGGCATCTTGGCGCGTGCAGCCGAAGGATTTCATGGGGAAATGACCCATTCAAGAAAGGACACAACATGCGCGTCCATCCAATGTTATTGAAAGTGCGGCTTGGGTGAGGCTTGTTTGCATGAGTTCAGCCATTGCCTGAGGCGGCACATATGTTGCTTCCTTCTTTGCTCCCAACACATTAACATACTAGAATCGCGTGACAGGCAAACCAAAACCTCGGCTGATGTGTGATATCAATTGGAGAAAAGATGCGAGATGACTTGACACTCATACTTTGTGAGTAGATTGTTTGAACCGCGAGTCAAAGACGGCCATGGACCACACAAAAGGGGTCGACATTCGCCTCTGCAAAGGCGGGGGAGGTTCCTCATCCCATGTTGTCGAGTCATCCCCGCGCAAAGGGGGTATGGGTTGACATGTCCATTCATGATGTGCAAGGGGTTCCGAAGTCGAATTTTCATAGCCCAAAGTGCCATCAAAACTAGGTATCCGAAATGGAACCTTGGTAAATGGACACCTGGACTAAAACCTGCCGTCCCCTGGATGGTTTAGTCCATGTGTCCATTTCCCCAAGATGGCTTAGTCAGGTTGCTTCCATTGTAGATGGTTTAGTTAAACTCCAAAATGCAAACCTTGGAGTTTTTCTGGAACCTTTCCCTTAAATAGGAAACCATAGGAAGTCTCGTTTTTTAAAGATAGGGCTCATTCCAGCTCATGTCCAAAAGCTTCCGAACTTCCATTCATAGTCAACTCTCAAATTCGGATCTCCGCAAATGGGCAGCTTGGGCTCGGAAACGCCCGAAAGCCGAACGCACATAGGTGTCCTTTTAGGGGAAATAGATGGATATCCCTGGTAGATGAGAAATCACCAGGTAAACCAGGAATCGCCCTCTGATTCTTTCTACCAAAACCAACCAAAAAGGACACCTATGCAGGCACCGATTTATCCCAACGCCAGAATTCGGCCACAACAGCCCCAGGCTTGGTTGATGTTGGAAGGGGAGCAAAATTAAATTTTAGCAGTTAAGTGGGGATTTCACACTAAACTAAGCAAAAATGTAAAATGTGTCCCAACAACAACCATGCAGGAACCTCTCCGGAACCCTAGCCCTGCACACGCGAACGCGCCAAGCCGCGGCAAGCCGCGGCAAGCCGGGCGAATGCGGCAAACTGCAGCACGCTCTCGTCTCCTCCATGCCGGGGCAGCGCATCCAGCCTGCGCGGCCGGCGGCCAGCCAGCGGCCCTCCTGGATGCACCGGGGCCATGGGACCCTTGTGGCTCCTTTTACCTTCCTCGAAGGTTTTCGGTTGTTTTCCCTAGTTTTCGGGGTGCTATAATGGACTAGGTCCTCCAGTAGAGAGAGGTTGTGCCATACTGTGGATGGTTGCGAAATCCACCAGCGTTCAGAAACCCAACGGAATGAGTCGATTCCCCTGTAAATACCAACAATTCATTGTTTCATTTGCCTGTAAATACCAAGGTGCCATTGACCTTCCTCCAAGGTGTTCTTTAAGTTCAAGGATCCAGAAAAAAAACTTCCGAGGTTGGCATTTTGGAGTTTGACTATAAAAAAACATTCAGGGGACGGCAGGGAGATGGACCAAGGCGCCGTATAGCTTCATTTGAGGAGACAAAAACTCCAAGAGTTCCAATGGAAAGGAGGTTGTTGTTGTGGTGCTGTCTTGCTCTTCTTTTTTTTTGGGGGGGGAGTTGTCTCGGTCCTCCAGTAGAGAGCTTAGAATAAGGGTTCCGTCTTTTTTATGTAGTCTATTTTAGTAGGGGAACCCTCCTCCAAAAAAGGGTAAAAGGGCACTACTGGGGAACCTGGAATAAACTGTGGTTAAAAAAGTAAAGCACCAAGATATGGACCAAGGTTCTGCTTAGCAAGGTCTCATTTTGGAGTTTGACTAAACCATCTACAATGGAAGCAACCTGACTAAACCATCTTGGGGAAATGGATACATGGACTAAAACCATCCAAGGGGTCCATGTTTCCATTTACCAAGGTTCCAACTTTGGATACCTATTTTTCACAAGCCATATAAATGCCTAAATAATAAGGAATGGGCTTGGGCACTTTGAACAGCACTCAGTTCTGGGCCGGACTTTCCAGTGAACCTGGAAGTAAGTTGAAGGAATGGCCAATGGCCGCCGGGATGTGGCAAGGCAACCTTTCACACCTGCAGATGCTGAAACCCATGTCTCGGTGAGTCGGACAATCCTTCCATATCTTAAGCTCTTAAGCCACATGCTAAGCTGCACAGCTGCACAGCCGAAGAGGTGCAAACCATGAAGCGCAACATATGTCCAGCAAACGGATTGGATGGGCTGTCTGTGGTTTCCCCATGTTGTTTGGCTAATTGTTCCTCTTTTAATGCTCTTTTAGTACTCTTTTGCTCTCCTACAAGGGTGGATCCACAAAAACCGCCTCCAAACCGTTTAGAATATGAGGCATCGTCTTCCAAAGCCAACAGCGACTGGCACCCCTCTGAAGGCCGTGAGGATGAAGCGGCTTCAGGGCTCTGAACCCCAAAAGCCACGCGATTCGGTCGAAGCTTTGCCTTTGCGGCGCATGGCTTGACTCCAAGAAATGGGGTGGGTGAGTGGGTCAACAAGTGGGGGTCAACAAAAAAGGAGCGCCCACCCTGCCTATTTGGGCGACTCAAAAAACTGCGTTCCAAGCATAGGTGTCCTTTTAGGGGAAATAGATGGATATCCCTGGTAGATGAACAACTACCAGGTAAACCAGGAATCGCCCTCTGAATTCTTCTACCAAAACCAACCAAAAAGGACACCTATGGTTCCAAGTCCTGCCTATTTGGGCTACTCAAAAACTGGAGCCCGGCTTGGTTTTGCGTTCCAAGTGGCTGGAAAGGCGTCAGAGAGCCTTTCTGGCAGTGGCAGCAAGGCCGGGTTCTTACCCGGGTGGCTGCGATTCTGCGTGGCCGGCAGGGCCAAGTCCTGATCAATGGTTCGGGCAACGGGGGCTTTAGAGACACAAATCACCAAATGACTATGGGTCAAAATTAAACCACTAGAAGACCGCAGGTTTAGTCCTTACTTCCATTTACCAGGGTTCCATTTGGGGCACACATTTTGGACCCACTGCCAAATTTTGCTGGTGCTACCCCCTGATCCCAAAGCCTACCAAAAGATTCAAGGTTCCCCAGGTATAATGTCTTCAGAATCTCAAATATGGCCATGGGTCAAAAGCCAAATCGTCCCCCCTGTGAACATCCCGATCCACAAATGGGTGGTGCACCTACCCCAAAATGGGATCCCATTTTGACCCACAGCCAAATCACCGAATGTTGCTGGTGCGATAGGCAGGGAATGAGGGAAGGAGCCTGGCGGTCCCCTTAAAGGTTTCTCATTCCCTGCTTATCGCACCAGCAAGAACTCTGGGGGTCTGTCTTCCTTTAAGGGGACCCACTGTTGAAGCACAAGCGACGGAATCTGCCACAGGCTTTTGTAGTCACGCGGTTAGCAGGTTATTTCCGATTGTCGACTTGTTTGCGAGAGAAGTGCGCCTGATCAAGGCTTGCACCTGTTATCGGTATGTTTGTTGTTTCTTGCTTACTGGTTTACACTGGGTTGATGTGCTATCCTCCCAGTTGGTGAAAGGTCATGTCTACAGTCTTTACTTTGCAAGCCTGAACTCATATGACATGAGGGTTCTCCAAGAACCCACACCACACCTGGACATTGACCGTGGCTCACATGTTTGCAGTTGCGTCCATGTTGTTTGTCAATCCAAACAAAGTCCTACTGTGGACGAAATCCATGTCGCACCACCTA